TTTCTTAAACCTTCTGAAATAATTCCCATCAAATCCAAACGCTCAGCAGCCTCATTCCTCAGCACAAAGAGGAAAATATTTCCCCTCCTGAGCTGTGGAAAATCAAGTGCCCCAGTTCCAGCCAGAGCTAAACCTTCAACGAAAAGATTTTCCAGGGATAGGCAAGAAGGTTCAAGTCCACACAATTAGCTCACTTAAAGCCAGGATGTAGAGATCCTTGGTGTTTACGGTCTCAGGCTGTCACTTTGATATATCTCCTCCTCTGGGAGCATGTTCCTCACACCCGGCTGCCAAAGCCACAGCTGCAGCCTCTCTCACAGGGGCGGTGGCTCCACGTTCCTGGATGGTACGAGCTCCTTTGCCACACGACTCGTCCTACAGACCTACATAGGCCAGGGAGAAAGAAGGGAGAGTTGGGCAGAAGAACTGCCCAAGAGGAGGACATCATCTGAGGCAGAGCGATCCCTTCACCTCAGGTCCAAACTCGTCCTCTCGATGAGAGAAACTCGGGACAGGGGATGAAGTTTCCAAAATTGGTGACTTTTGATTTGTTTGAAAATTTGCTGCCCCTCCCCTAAGCGTAGGTTTCCTTGAAGAACAATATGTTCTCCACAAAAATTACAAGTGGTTTCCAGGAAAAACTTTGAAACCCAGTCTCGCTTTCGGTTTCAGATTATGTTTTTTGTTTAGTTTGCGGCTCATGAGTATTTTCTCTTCAGACACTGCTGTGCTCATTCCCTTTTCCAAACAGGTGGTGAAAAATGTTGAAGGAAAAATTCCTCTCCTGCCCTCGGGTTTTACTTTGCCCAGCTCCAAAGACAGGCCCATACTGCACACTTTTGCCATCACAGTTACATCAGCTCCACCACCTCCAGAAAGGACGATACGAAGCCAAGAAAAGCAATCTCACACTGGTGAAGGCTGCACCTCTGCTAGGAAGTTCTGCAGGTTGCTGCCTAAGAAAAGGCATTACTGTCATAGAATCACAGAATGGTTTGGGTTGGAAGGGACCTTAAAGACCACCCAGTGCCACCCCCTGCCCTGGGCAGGGACACCTCCCACCAGACCCGGTTGCTCCAAGCCCCCTCCAACCTGCCCTTGAACCCCTCCAGGGATGGGGCAGCCACAGCTTCTCTGGGCAACCTGGGCCAGGCTCTCACCACCCTCACAGCGAAGAATTTCTTCCCCAGATCTCATCTCAATCTCCCCTCTTTCAGTTTAAAACCTTTACCCCTCGTCCTATCGCTCCACTGATCAAGCCTTGGGCTCATGCCTCTAAACTGCTATGGGGAGGTCACTGATTTTTTCTGTGCCTCAGTCCCCATCTCCACAATATCTGTGTCCACATCCCCATTGAGAGGGTGGTAGGGCTACGCTGTGGAAAAAAGGAGGTGTGGGCTGCCACTCATCTGCAGGAGCAGGACAGATGGCAGGTGCTGCCAGGCCCGGCTGCAGCATCACACTCTTAGCGAAGCAGAAAAGTTAATTAAATAGCAGGAAAGGAAAAGACCATTTAAAGAGATGAGTCTGTATGACTAAAAGTCTTAGTCACTCATTTGTGAAGATCTTAGGCAAAAACTCCTTTTAAAATAATTTTTATCTGGATCACGTTCCTTCAAGAAATTTCTCAAATCATTCAGTGAGAACTGCTGGGAAATGTCACCCTCATTCCCTCAGACTTTTAGTGCCCAGAATATTTGTGATACCTGCCACCTCCTCTCCCTGCCTGCAACCTTCTCTTAGGCTGAGTGATCTCACCTGACACACGACTATGAGACCTGCTAGAGAAGAATTATTTTTGTCCTGCAGAAATTGAAAATTTTCTTCCCCAAAAATGTTGAGTTGAAACTTTCCAGTGTTTCAATAGAAACCTTCTCCAAACACGTCTTCTTGCTTAATTCAGGGGGAAAAAAAGCTCTTAACATTTCAGAAAGAAAATAAAAATCAACTGCTGAAGACTCCATGTGGGGGCTTTTTCAGAAGGCTATTTCCTATTTTAAGAAATACTGACAGCATTCAGCCAGCCCTTCATGGAATATGGTGGTGACAGAAATGTAAGAGCACACTGGAAGTGTTGAGAATGCTGCACTTAGGGATCACTGGTTTGGTTTCGCACGGTGCCATTCATACCAGAAATGCCCTGTTACATTTTTTAATATGTGGGGGTTTTCTCAAGGGGAATGGTGGTCCTCCCAAGCTCACAGAACACAGGACTCACAGTTCTGTCAGAACAACGACGTGGATGGGATAAGAGCAAAAGGAAGGAGCTGGGCTGACAGTACTTTTTCCTGCCTGTTGCCTCCAAAGGTTTAATGAAATCAAACCACGGCCCAAACTGTGCCTTCCTCACAAGATTAAGACTGTATTTCCTGCAGTGCCCCTCCTCAAGAAAGGAAGGTATCAGTCAGGCTGACTCAAGAAAGGTTGCAGGGTTTGTCCTCACGCTCTGAATCACCTCTTGCACGCAGAGAGGCAAGAGGTGGCAAATGGAGACAGTCCCCCAGGTACCATGGGAATTACAGCAGCATGAAAAGACCCACCTCCAGACGAGCCATCGCACTAAGGAATGACAACCCTATCCCAATATGAGTAAAACCCTGGGACAATGTAGGCACAGTGGCATGATTTGCCCAATGATGGAGAGTGTTATCAAGCCCCGTCCTCTGCAGCAGCGGGCAGCCCTGCCTGCAATGGAGTCATCAGAGGGCAGAAGACCCCCCAGCAGGCTCCCAGCACATCGGTGGGTGCAACGGTTACACGGATAACGAGTTTTGCTCCTGCCAGGACTGTATCCATCACCTGCCTGGGCACCCAAAGCCAGGGCCACGACGGCAGTCGGGCAGAGGAGCAAAACTGTGTGCAATACAAACTCCCTGCCCGCAATTAGAAGATGCTGTTGAAAACACTCCTGTAGCCGCTGTGGAGGAGGGTGCCGGGCAATGCCGAGGGCGGAAGGCGTTTTAGCAAAGCTTGCCAAGTTTTTAAGTTTCTAAATAGGTCTAGAGGAGAGCGCCTGGAACAAATGTGTTTGGTTTGACAGGCAGCGACACCTCGTGGCTCAGGGCTTTTCCCCCCCCTGTTTGCTGCCAACACTGCTCTTGTTTTGCCTGGGACAGGTTCTCTAGTCATGCTCAAATCAGGGGGAGTTTTGCCCCTGGGGGAGTTTTGCCCCTGAGTTCAGAGGAGCCCAGATTTCAGGGCGGATGTCTCACAGGAAACGATGATGATGATGGTAAGATTCACCTCTTGCAAACGCTTACTAAAAATCACACGTCATCTATAAGAGAAGCTGGCCTGAGGGCTCTTAGCAAGACCTTAATGAGACTGGCCCTAAAATTACTTCTATTTTGTTGAGGCTGTTACAGGAAGCGTAAAAGCCATGTGTTGGTACTGGCTCTGCAGTTTGGATGCTAAAGTGGAATAGACTTAGGACCTTCCAGACTCTTAACTTTGTGTTTTTTCCATATAGTTCTTTTAGTTCTATAGTTTTCCAATTATAGTTCTTTTTTCATGAGAAAGAGAAACTTCATAGCAATTATACAGAGGCAGCAAAATAGCCAAGGGACAAGAAAAGCGCTGGCCAAAGAAGCCCATGGTAAGAAGAAATGGAGATTTTTGGAGAAAGATGTGACTGAAGAAACTTGTAACTGTGTCTCCTCCTATGGCTTGAACCGTAGGGTGTTCAGGGAAAGGAGACATTTGGTACCTTCATGGTAAACACACAAGCTTTTGCCAGTACAAACCAGAGATCCATTGGGTCTTCTCCCAGTTAGTACCCAGAACCCGACATTCCCAGGTACAGTAACAGTTTTCCTGCTGGGGAAGACCCAGAAAAGCCACTTTTCTCTATGCCGGTGTTATCATCTTCTGTGTGATTGTGTCACTGACCCTTTTCCTTTCCTCATGGCACAGTCTGGCTGGGACTGTGATGGGAAGAGTGGGAGAGCAGATGTGCCAACCCAACAGCACGACTGATGGGGCAATTTTTCCCCCTTCTCTCCCCGTGGCAGGATGCAATGGCACAGCTATTCCAAGCTATTCCAAGCACATACACCTGGGCACATTGTACTTGGTGGCACCACTCACGGCTCAACCAGGATGTTTCCTGCTGTTTCTGATACACCCAGAACAAAACGCTGTCTCCATGACTGTGATTTAGGACGTGTGAGGCTGTAACGTACAGCACCAACTTCGGAACTGAGCTTTGCCCCCAAGAGCTCTGGAGTTTAAAGGTACCGCGTGCTGAAAACACAAACACCTCAAGAGTTTTGTAGCTGCAAATGGCAAGGCCAACAGTCGATGAGACCATCGATCAGGCAGTGCAGGGTCAAGAACAATCCGTGCATTGGCACGACCCTGACACCCGGTCCTGGTCTTAACTGGTATTTTTGGGTTCATGACAAATAACTGATACGTGGTAGCTAAGGGATAAGGAAATTGCAGCACTGGCATTCAGCGAAACCACAGGATTTATCAGGATCCATGTCCTTTCACTTGCCCACACTGTCCATGGGGCAGATCCCTGTCCCATTTCTGCACTTTACTTCCCCCATCTGTAAAGTGGGGTAATTCCCTCATTTTTGAAAAACATTGTCAACCTGGTAACGTAAACAAAGAGAAAATCCTTGATCTCTTGCAAACACAAGACTATCATAATACCATAGATTGATTACTGTTTTAGTTATTGCTAGGTTATTATCAGATATCCCATGCAGTAAACCCTTATTTGATTTCTATTAATATTTCACAGCCACACAGGTAAATTCCAAAGGTCAATTTTTTTTAATGAGGTGCGTCCCAAGGTTAAGGCTCGCGCTGTTTTCCTGCGTTCCTTGAGCACGCAGCCCGTGCAGAGTTGGGTGAGGTTACACTGGAGGGCGCAGTCCTTCAATCTTCACAAGGTTTTATTTTCATCAAAAAAGCACTCTCAGGTCTGCTCCTGTCCCAGTTTCAACGTGCAGCTGGGCCCAGCCAGGAAGGCAGGCTGTGCGCATGTGTGCAGCTCATCCACCCGAGGCTCCTCCGGCATTCACCCGGCTTCACACAAGAAAAGAGCGCGATGAAAAGGTAGCAAGAACAGAAATATATTACAAGCAGAAAAGTTCTGCTTCGGCATGTCTACCTGGAGAGTCAGAGTCCTGATGGCGCTGTGCTTCCTGCAGCAGACTAGAGGTACAGTACGGCTGCCTGTTTTTCTTTTTGCTATGCTATGTGGCTTTGCTTGTAGGAGGAAAAGATATACATAGGTCAATTTTAAGCGGTTTAAATGGGAATTATTCACAGAAAGCGAAATATTCCGCTGTACAGAAGTGGCGATTTAAAATCTGTCTGTAGAATGTGTCTTGCTGAAGGCTAGTGATGTACATATTTGCCTGCCAGAAACAGTAAGTAGCAGGAATGTACAAAACCAAGGCTGTGTGCTGCATCTCGCTGCCTTCATCGTAGGATCTGCCCTAGAAGAACTGGGATTGAATGAGCGGTGGGAGCCAGCGGTGTCTGCCTCAACCAGGCACCGGGGGGTGGAAGCCCAAGGCAGAAGGGTTGGAGTTTCAAGGGTTGTAAACCAGGTCATAGGGAAATCCAGGGAGACCATGGGGGAAGCCACTCGAAATTATACCATAGGATGGTTCACACAAATGTAGATTCTAATTCTAAAAGCTGTTGAGATGAAGATGCTTTATAGGAGATGAGGAAAACGTGACTACATCACAGCCATACCTGCTTCTGGAGCCAATCTCCAGTCTTAAATGAACTGAGCTGCTCTGCCCCAAATTTTGAAACCACCCTGGTCAAAACTGGGTGATATTTCTATGCCCAAAGATATTTTAAATCACTCCTGTAATTTTCCCTTTCAATCAGGTCATGTTCAACTTCCCTCTCCTCAAAACGTTACACTACTCTCAAAGGATTTTGACATGATTTTGACATGGACTCCAGGAGAAGGCTCTCCACCAGATGTGACATACACTGTGAGGTATAAAAGGTAAGTGCTTACAAAGGATGCTTACAAAGGAGAGTATGGCACAGGGCAAACGTCTGTGCATCTCTACTAATCAATGGCATTATGACCAGTGACCTGGCTGCATCCTTTCACTAAAACCAATCCTTATCCATCTGGAAAGTGCTCCAAACTCTGAGCAAGATTTGGTACTCATCCTCCAAAACACTTCCTTCTCTTACTCTACAAATGATAACAAACCAGCATGTCTAATATTATGGTTTGCTTGTTTCTTCTTTTAGCCAGGAACGCATGGACAAATGGATGAAAGTTCCTCATTGCAAAAATATTCACGGAACCTCTTGCAATCTGACTTGTGTGCTTCCAAACTTCTTTGTTAAAGTTCAGGCTCGAGTAAAAGCTGTTTCTGGAAGATTCCAGTCGCCATGGGTAGAATCACAATTCAAGGAATACCATTTGGATGGTGAGTATCTATTAGGTTACAGCCAGGATGAAAGGACATCCCAACAACAGTGTTGGCACGAGCAAACGAGTAGACCACACACCACAGAAAGGCTCTCCACCAGATGTGACATACACTGTGAGGTATAAAAGGTAAGTGCTTACAAAGGATGCCTGATTGAGAGTATGGCACAGGGCAAACGTCTGTGCATCTCTACTAATCAATGGCATTATGACCAGTGACCTGGCTGCATCCTTTCACCAAAACCAATCCTTATCCATCTGGAAAGTGCTCCAAACTCTGAGCAAGATTTGATACTCATTTGGTACTCATCCTCCAAAACTTCCTTCTCTTACTCTACAAATGATAACAAACCAGCATGTCTAATATTATGGTTTGCTTGTTTCTTCTTTTAGCCAGGAACGCATGGACAAATGGATAAAAGTTCCTCATTGCAAAAATATTCACGGAACCTCTTCTGTAATTTTCCCTTTCAATCAGGTCATGTTCAACTTCCCTCTCCTCAAAACGTTACACTACTCTCAAAGGATTTTGACATGATTTTGACATGGACTCCAGGAGAAGGCTCTCCACCAGATGTGACATACACTGTGAGGTATAAAAGGTAAGTGCTTACAAAGGATGCTTACAAAGGAGAGTATGGCACAGGGCAAACGTCTGTGCATCTCTACTAATCAATGGCATTATGACCAGTGACCTGGCTGCATCCTTTCACTAAAACCAATCCTTATCCATCTGGAAAGTGCTCCAAACTCTGAGCAAGATTTGGTACTCATCCTCCAAAACACTTCCTTCTCTTACTCTACAAATGATAACAAACCAGCATGTCTAATATTATGGTTTGCTTGTTTCTTCTTTTAGCCAGGAACGCATGGACAAATGGATGAAAGTTCCTCATTGCAAAAATATTCACGGAACCTCTTGCAATCTGACTTGTGTGCTTCCAAACTTCTTTGTTAAAGTCCAGGCTCGAGTAAAAGCTGTTTCTGGAAGATTCCAGTCGCCATGGGTAGAATCACAATTCAAGGAATACCATTTGGATGGTGAGTATCTATTAGGTTACAGCCAGGATGAAAGGACATCCCAACAACAGTGTTGGCACGAGCAAACAAGTAGACCACACACCACAGAAAGAGTAACAGGCAGCTTTATGAATTACAGAGACTTGAGTGAGCACGAACAACAAGGAGCCATGATTATTTGAAAATACATTACCCTGCTTCAGCAGGGGAGTTGGACTAGATGATCTCTATGGTCCCTTCCAACTCTAGAAATTCAATGAAATTCAATGAAATCAATGCTCTCAGTGAACAAACCAGCTTCAAGCTTTCCCTTTCTCCTTCCTTCACATTTTGTAGCACGTGTCAGAATTTGTTCATCAATGTTCTCAGTGAACAAACCGGCTTCAAGCTCCCCACATGCCAGCAGAGGTATTTTAGATAAAAAAGAGGTATTTCTTTCCCTTCCTCCTTCCTTCACGTCTATCACAAGATAACAGTTACAGGTGTAGAGCAGTCACAGAAAAACGTTACTTCTGTGAAGCTTAGACACAGGCGAGCACTATTCTTATGGCTGGTCATTCAATTACAGTGGAACTGGCTCCCCCAGTGCTAAATGTGAATGTCAAGAAGAACTTAATCCATGTGAATGCCTCCTTCCCTATGGCCACCTGTGTGGAGAGATTATCTTGGATGTACGACTTGAACCTTTGGGAAGCTGGATCTGAAGACAAGGTCAGTAAAAGTGGCGCTTCTTAGATGAAAGGGAGGAACGATGCCCAGCTTGACTTGAAATAGCTTCAAATTTCTGGGCAGGGAGGGACTGGATCCAGGGCCTGGAGAAAATGAAATGCCCAAACCAGAGTTAAACCAAAGCCAGAGAAAAAATATTAGAAGAGCGTGTGTTCGTCCTTATTTTATTGGTAGTTCCCTGTTTTTATCAGGACAATGTGATGGGGAGGTTACACTACAGTCAGCATAATAGGGTGATATCTGAGGCTTAAAGCAACTAGTTCGGGTACCACTAAGAGCATGCCATGGCAGAACAGAGCACAGCACCAGCTGGAAAACCCACCCCAGAATCCATAAACCCCGGGAGAGAAGCTACAAACAGAAAGACATGAAGGGCCTCTCCACACACCTTCCAGCCACACAACATAATGAAGAGAATCATGGGCTAAAAAGGTAGAGAAATACCACTCAAACAATGAAAGAATCATCTTTCCAACCCTTTGTTCTTTTTCTTTCTAAACAGAAGCGATACGAACGTAACTTTAGGAAGCATACAGTGACTATTGACACCACTGCACTTAAGGGCAACTACTGTTTAAGTGCCAGATCTTCCTTCCAAAGCATTGACTTCAAGTACAGCGAATTCTCTCAACCACTGTGTGTGCTATTGAACCACAAAGGTATGGCCCTGCTGAGAAATTAATGTGGTAAGACAGCAAACGGGATTGGGGCAAGTCAAAGATTTCCACCAAAATTAGCTTTTCAATGAAAATAAATGGGTTTCTTGTTAAATAGGCTGGTTGGATTTTATACTGAAAGGTTCCTGCTTTCTGCAGAAATATTTTCATTTAAAAAATCCAACCCTGGAATATTTTCTGAAAATTGTAAAATATTGTACCTGAGTTATGCTCACAATGAATTTTTGGGAATATTAAAAAATGAAAAATATGTGATTAAAATCTCATTTTTGACCTGCTCCAAGTAAGGCACTCTCTGGTATCAACATTCATTTTTGGCTGTGACTCTGACGTAGAGGTAAGTCTGTTATCCTTTCTCTGCATTTGTAAAAAATAAGGATCTTGAGCCTAACATTTTCTGAGGTTTCTGAAAGAAAAACTGAATATAAAAGCCTGTTACTGCTATAAGATATACCAACAGCAGGAGACTATTTTTGTCTTTTTCTTTTTCAGCAATGGAATGGAAGTTTCTGCTTTATGCCACGATCCCTGTGTTCGTCTTCTTTATGACAACTGCCTTCATCATCTATTTGCTGAAACAAGATACGAAGCGAAAGAAGATGCCTCATGCTTTGGTACGGCCCAAACTCAAAGTCCTCCTGATTTTTGGAGGGTAAATGGGGGGGAGCGGGGGAGTTCTGTGCTTCATCAGTCCCATTTAAGTAAGCTTTTATTCTGGCATGTCCTATTTCCAAGCTTTTATTTGAAAAGCATCCCTAACTCACTGATCTGTGTGTCTCGTTTCTTCTCCCTGGTAGGATTTATCTCATGTAAAAGCTGCTGGAACAGCCGTTCACTGTGAGCCCAGTGAAAAAGAATTCTTCAGGGACTATCTTCTCTGCACAGAGAAGCCAGTGTCACAAAGGAAGACAAACCAAACTCTAGCAAGAAACAACCTACCATGGATGGCTTCTTTCCTCTCATCATCATCATCATCATTATCATCATCATCATCAGAAGAGGAGGAGGAGGAAGAAGACAGTAGTACTTTCATCCCATATACTGAAAAGCTTCGTTTTCCAAAGAGAGATCTCAACTGTCAACCATCCAGAACAGCTCAGGTGGAAACCAGCTTGGACTCTGGAACTGGAGGTCTCTCTGAGGGTAGTGAATCTATGCTTGATCTAAGTACCTTGGGTTTCTCCTTCTTTCCAATGAGAAAGAACGAGGTGGACACCTCAGGATCCCAAGGAAATGAGAAGGCATCCCTTTCTCACAGTTCTTCTTTGGGAAGAATATCCCTCACTGATGTGAGATTCCCAGGTCCCAGGGAAGATGATACAGGCAGGGATGAATGCCTGGAAATGACCCCTCTTCAAACACCGATGGAGGGGATTTATGACAAACTTCCAGCCGATGAGCACTACCTGCATAGGAAGGCTCATCATTTCACCAAGTGTCACCAGAAACGGATAGCTGATCTGCGTGTCCAGGTCGGTGACACATCACAGCTCAGTGAGGATCCCAGCACCAGGCTGCTCATTTCCTTTCAGACATTACAGGTGGCAGAAGACGAAGGTATTGCAAGTGACTGTGACAGCGAGAATTCTACCGAAGGGACACCTCCTGCATCCACGGTGCTAAGTGATGCGTTTGAGACTTCAAATATGGAGGAAAAATATGATCAAAAGTTTCAATTCAAAGGCTACCAGCACACACATTACATGGGAAGGACCTAGAGCACCCCACCAGTTCTGTGGTGTGTCTGGAAAATACTAGAGAGCTCCAAATATCCGGGCAAGGATGCCTAAACAGGAACAAGGACAAATAGCCAACAGTGGTGCTTTTTGTATTTATTCACCTGGACAGAATTTTTTCTACTGATGTCTGGCCTATGAAGATACAGGGCTTCAGGGACATAAAAGGTGTATTTTTACTGCTAAGTAACTAACGTGTGTTCACCATCCCTCTGTATAAGTACAGCTGCAATAAGGTGTTACAGCTCTGGCAGGAGCCAGCCAGGGGTGAGGCAGGTGGTGATACCTCCTGGAGGTACCACTGAAAACCACCTCTGAGGCTGCAAAAACACAACCCCGACCTGGGTGAAACCATCAGCTGGGTTCTGAAAACACAGAGTGTTGGGCCTGCATGGTGATTTTGAGCCAGGATGAACTGCTAACATTACGTTTGCTTCTCTGTAACTGCAAAATTGCACCCCTGCTTGGCTGGAAGTACCTTACAGAGATTTAAGGATGTGGGATGAAAAGAACTCTACCTCAACCGACAGAGATCACCTTCTGTATTTCAATGCAGTGAACTGAAGTCAAAATGATAAATGTGAAGCGTGTTTAATTATTATTTTTATATATACAAATACCCTTATTGAAGCTGAAATTCCTCCTGCTGTGCAGAATATCTGAGAGCTGCTTTATGCAGAGGCAATAATATTTTGATATATAACTCCATGTGTGTGTGTTCTTATGTTTCCCAGAATGACAAAGGGTGACTGTAGCTCAACCTGGAAAACATCTTAAAACAGGACCCCATCATGGGCTTCCTAATGCTTTGGTTTGAGTGGAATCCTATGAGACTTCCCAGATGGGTAACACTGGGTCACTGAAAGACCACAACTGTGACCATCTCTCTGAGCAAAGCATCACATCAGGAGTCCACCAGCAAAAGGCACAGGAGAGATAAGACCTCCCTTGACTGGGCAATCCTGTCCTTTTCAGTGTATTTTTAATTTGTGCTCTTCCCATCACACAGAAACATTCTCTCCCGTTTTATTCTTGTAAAAGGGCACGCAGAAAAGCAGAGCATTAAAAGAAAGAGGGAGACACACAACAGCCATTCTCTGCATTCAGAGAGAGCTGTCTCAGATGAGGGAAGGGTGTTGATGGAGGGTATTAAAGCTGACATCTTCAGAGAATCAGGAGAACAATACTGGAAAGAGGTAGGGGGTAAGGGGAGGGAAGTGCATTGAAAGAGAAAAGCAAAATGTACTAATTAAAGTACAAAGGGGAGGTGGGAGAAAAGATTCATCAGCTAGAATTTTCCTTTTCTTATTTCTTACCTGTTCTCCACAAGGTGTCCTTAGGTACATCCTACATTGTAATCCCTCCAGTTCATTTAGAAAGATATAGCTCATCCAAACATAATCACCACCCATGTTCTTGTGCAATCAAGGAAACCCCCCTGGCTTTGAGTTACAGGAAGCTCTGAAGTTGTGTAACCTCTATAAAATTAATTTGGCATGCCACAGCTCTGCAAACAGGGATCAGTGCTTTGTCTTGTCCAGGTTTTCCCAGGAAAAGGGAAAAGGCAGCAGGCCAGGTGAGCTGTACTGGTGGAGGCAGCATCCTGCTTCTCCATGTTTTCTTTCACCCGAGCTGGAATCAAATCTCCTACACCCCCGGACCAGCAATTACCAGGCTCCATGCAACCCTTACAGAGTGGGGCTCTGCCTGAGCCCTGGAGCAGCTCAGAGGAGAAAACCACCTTGATCTTTTTGGCCTTAAATCTATCATCTTCACAAATCTCTGGCACGCAAGATTTTTCTCCTCTTTCCCCAGCTGTGCAAAGTTAAAAGCAGAGTTCCACAGAAAATCTGTGGTATGAACTTCTCAGTCTGTTTTGGTCCTTTGGGACTACTTTCTGATCAGAGTTCCACAGAAAATCTGTGGTATGAACCTCTCTGTTTTTGTCCTTTGGGACTACCTTCTGACGTAGGCTCATGCTCCACAGTTTGGAAGTTGGAAAGCCAAGTGTTAATTTTAAACTTGGAACCAGCCTTTTGGAGATCTTCAGGTACCTAAAGATTCAGGGAGGTGTTTCCTGGGCTATTCAAAAGGTAACACCTCTCTGGAAATAAGGGCAGAAACAAAGTTTTAAGTTATAGTCTCAAAACTAAAGTCTCAGGTGCGCTACGTTTTCCTGCACCTCTGCCTTATCATGGGTCATCACACCGCAGAAGCACGAGGCAGTGACGTATAATGGAATCAAATAGAAATACTTTAACAAGCTATTCAGGAAACACCCTAACAAAGAGTTGTACTTAATTAGATGTAGGCCACCCCGGTGGATAGGTGTGTCTTGTTTAATAAACCATGAGGCTTCTGCATTTGTCCAAGTGAGATGAAAGAGACAAAAGGACAGCTATGCATCATGGCATGGTTTGAAGCATAAAGCCCCATTAATACTGAAGCAGGGCAGGGAAGAGAAACAGCTTCAGGAACAGAAAATCCATGAGGTGAAGAGGTAAGCAGAAGGGGTAGGAATTTCTATCACATGTTTGGCCGCAAGGATTGAACAGCAAAAGCAGAATCACAGAATCATAGAAAGGTTTGGGTTGGGAAGGACCTTAGAGATCAGCTTCAGAAGCACAAATGGTTTGTAGTTTGATTAAACTGGCTAAATACTTTAACAAGCTATTCAGGAAACACCCTAACAAAGACTTGTACTTAATTAGATGTAGGCCACCCCGGTGGATAGGTGTGTCTTGTTTAATAAACCATGAGGCTTCTGCATTTGTCCAAGTGAGATGAAAGAGACAAAAGGACAGCTATGCATCATGGCATGGTTTGAAGCATAAAGCCCCATTAATACTGAAGCAGGGCAGGGAAGAGAAACAGCTTCAGGAACAGAAAATCCATGAGGTGAAGAGGTAAGCAGAAGGGGTAGGAATTTCTATCACATGTTTGGCCGCAAGGATTGAACAGCAAAAGCAGAATCACAGAATCATAGAAAGGTTTGGGTTGGGAAGGACCTTAGAGATCAGATTCAGAAGCACGCATGGTTTGTAGTTTGATTAAACTGGCTGTAGGTGTGACTCACTTGTAATAATAACAAAAAAATCTGGCATTCAGGAGCTTTAAATAGGCTTTAGACAATATAAAAGCACTGCTCCTAAGGAATTTGTCTAATGCACGGTTGTCTTACGTGGTTTAGGGCAGATATACCTGGTAAAGTTTTACTAGGGCTGGAGCCATCACAATTTGAACAGTTCTCAGTGCTCATAAGGACAAAACCAGTTGGTTTTGCTTTGGTGGAACCTCAGCTTTATGCAATGGTCCAGTTAGTCCGGTTTGGGTTGGGAAGGACCTTAGAGATCAGATTCAGAAGCACGCATGGTTTGTAGTTTGATTAAACTGGCTGTAGGTGTGACTCACTTGTAATAATAACAAAAAAATCTGGCATTCAGGAGCTTTAAATAGGCTTTAGACAATATAAAAGCACTGCTCCTAAGGAATTTGTCTAATGCACGGTTGTCTTACGTGGTTTAGGGCAGATATTTCTGGTAAAGTTTTACTAGGGCTGGAGCCATCACAATTTGAACAGTTGTCAGTGCTCATAAGGACAAAACCAGTTGGTTTTGCTTTGGTGGAACCTCAGCTTTATGCAATGGTCCAGTTAGTCCTAGGCAAAACTGAGGACTGAGGACAGGACAGGACAGGACTTCCCTATTTTGTGAACAGTTACGAGCCAGGGAAACAAACCAGGGAGGTTATCCAGGCTGTGTCAAGGGAATAGCTATACTATAAAAATTCAAAAGCAGTGGCTAAGGATATTCAAGTGACTTCAGGGGGCTTTGGATCAGTTTCCTAAGCCTCAAATGTAGCATGTGTGTGTGAAGCTTTCTCTGCTGAGGACATCTTGGGTAAAATAAGCAGCACCGTAGCTCCCCCAGTTCTTCAGATGTCATACACATCTGGTGGCTCTAAATCCACAGCTCCTGGAGACAGGCAGTTAGTTTTCACTTTTAACCCAAGAGGGAAATGTCTTTCCCTCTTCTGAGAAAAGCCTGAAAATGTAACTTAACAGTACCCTAAAAAAAACTAAGAACGTTATGGAAAAGGAACTATGTCTCTTGCTTGTTTAGATTTCATATAAACTCCCAGTTCTTACCACGCGGCATTCAGGACACTCGGAACAGAGCCTTATATTATAGGCAGCCACAAAAATAAGCTGTAGGTCTACGGTGACACCTGACAAAAGCCATGGGACGGCACATGCTCCTGCTACAGAAAGGCTCCTACCTCCTCTCTGTGTCAACAAGAAACCTTTGTGCCCCCTTGTAGAGCAGGGACACGGAAGACTCGAGGAGCCCGTGCTCTGCCCAGTACACAGCAGAGCTCCATGCTGGTCATTTGGCCCCCATCCAGGGCCAGTGCGAGAAATAAAAGAGCTTAAAAACTAAAGATCTGGCTGACTTTCATTTTAATAAAGTATTTGAAGGTATTGCTTAAGGAAATAGGTGTCTTGCTTGCAGGAGTTATAAAACTAACTAGAAGCACAGCGCTAAGTTTTCTATCCTAGAATTTGAACAAGTCAAAGTTACCTGACCAGAAAAGCAAGCCCCAAAACTGAAAAACCTCAGTGAGGGCTTTCAGGCAGGAAGCTCTTTATCAGCAAAATGGTATTTGGCACCTTTTCAAAAGCTGGGGATTTTCTAAGCCTCTGGCTTGTGCACCTTTGTACAGTTAGGTGTGCAGGGCTCAGAAGGGGAGAGGTGATCCTGTTGTCACTCTTACGTTCCCTCCGACACATGCGCACACATCATGAGCTGGTGAGCTCAGATCCGAATGCAGGCGGGATGGGATAGCAGCTCTGCAGCCTGTTACTGAGCAACAAATCCAACCTGGCCTCACAAACAAGATTTTAGCTCTTGTAAAAGGTGATTCACCCACACACAGGATCAACAACTGCCTGTGCTCCCAGCCCAGCTTGCATAGTTATTCATGAAGCAACTTCTGACCGTCTTGGCTGCGTTTTCAGTGGTCGGTAAGTCCTGACTTCTCCTTTTCTATCACTGATTGTAGTTGTTTGTGTTTGATCCTGTAGCATGGGAGGTCGTTCAATTATGTTTACTGAAAAAAAGACCTACAGAATAAGCTTTTGTCTGAGGTTGTTGAAAAGCTCTCTTCTGTTTGGCTCTCTCCCTTTACTATTTTCAAAGTACTGTCGGTGTGCTCAGTGCTTTAAGGATTAGGAGGGAGAAGAAAAGATTCCTTCACTTCAAGGAGTTTGCCACTGATGTGTTACAACCCAAATCCTACAGGAGTAAAGGATATTCAGGGACTTCAGGGGGCTTTGGATCAGTCCCCCTGCGTCTCGGGCAGAGACGCAAATGAATGCAAGAACAGCCCTGATTATAAAAGAGGTACAAGCAAATAATGTATTGCTATAAAGCCATTTCATCCTACTCCTGATGTGGCGTGAACCAAGGATTAACTTGCTGTTTTCAAATGCTGGCTTTTCAGGAAGAAACCTTATCATTCATCTATCCCTGTGTCCGTGATCTTATGCTGTAGGGAAGGCACCTGCAGAAACTTCTGAAACAGAGGGACTTTCACACTGTGAAACATCCCTGTTCTTCTCTGCCCACGCTTGACGGTGCTTGTATACGTTGCTTTGCATAACTGTGTTTTAGTCTGGATAAATGTGGAAAGGCAGATTTCCTACTTCTGATATGATCAGAGCATTGGTGACTCAGTTTTCACGGTGCCCAGACAGGGAAACCCACCCCCCTTACCCTGGCTGCTGCATTTCTGCCTTGCCGGGAAGATTGCGCTGAGCCTTGTGTGAGCCGAGGCGAGTGTTGAACTGCAGGTGAGGTCAGGAGGAAATCGGAATGAGACTGCAATCCCATTCTGCATTTCTGCACTGCTTCCCCACCAACACGCCATGCACAGCAGGACTGAGAACTGGGTCTATGTCTTTACACCTAATTTTCCTCCTATACAGCCAGAGACTTGTAACTGCTGACACTCAGGTCTCCTCCGCGGAGGCAGCGGGAAGAAAAGCTTGGAGTGAGGATCCAGGAACTGGTGTGGTTTAGTCCCTGCTCTACCACAACTGCTCACTGTGACCTTGTCCAAGTCATCCCCATTCTGGTCCTCAGTTTTCCCATTTGTAAAACTTTTACTTGCTTTTCACACCATTTTTTTCAGGAGGGATGATGGGGTGGGGGGAGAGGCTCACTCATGTTTAATGTGTCAGGAACAGCGTGGTGAGTAGGACTCGGGAGGTGATCGTCCACCTGTACTGGGCACTGGTGAGGTCCCACCTCAAGGGCTGTGTCCAGTTTTGGGCCCCTCACCACAAAAAAGACATTGAGGGGTTGGAGCGGGTCCAGAGAAGGGCAACGGAGCTGGTGAGGGGTCTGGAGAATAAGTCTTGTGAGGAGAGGCTGAGGGAGCTGGGGGTGTTCAGCCTGGAGAAGAAGAGGCTGAGGGGAGACCTTGCTCTCTACAACTCCCTGAAAGGAGGTTTTAGAGAGGCAGTGGTCGGTCTCTTCTCCCAAGGCACAGGATATAGGATGAGAGGAAATGGCCTCAAGTTGCGCCAGGAGGTTCAGATTGAATATTAGAAAAATTTTTTACATGGAAAGGGTTATTAAGCCTTGGAATGGGCTGCCCAGGGAAGTGGCTGAGGCACCGTCCCTGGAGGTATTTAAAAGACGGGTTGACATAGTGCTTCACGACATGGTTTAGTGATGGTTTTTTATCAGAGTTAGGTTGATGGTTGGACTAGATGATCTTAAAGGTCCCTTCCAACCCAGACAATTCCATGATTCCATGTTGAGTGTCACTTACAAGCACCATAAAGGGACTGTTCATTTTCAGCAAGTGCAGACTGAAGGCCATGCAAGTTCAAGGTGATAATTTATATATTGCAAATATACTCTTGCAAACCAAGAGTATATATAATGTATAATCTCTCTTTGAGGATGTGTCTGTAATTCAAGTGTACAGAGCTTATCATTTCTGACGGTTACTCTCCACCTTAGATGGTGCTGTGAATCAGCCTTGAGAACATTTTACACTGTGTATTCTCATGATGGGAGAGCACCAGGTCTCCAGGACACTCTTCCACACCGCCTGCTTGCTGCCAGTCTGCTGCAGGTGAATCACGGTGGTGTCCAGCTCTACAGAGGCAGCTCAGACCAGGGGCATGTTTGTCATTTCTGCTTATCAAAGCCTCATCATCCTCCCTGGGGAAGGGCTCAGAAAGCAGGGAGCTGGGTGAGTTGTTTGCCTTTGCCCTGGCACACCCAGATCAGAGTCCAGGTATCAGTTGGTCGTGTGTCGCTCTGTACGGGCAGTCTCCGTCCGATAAAACATGGAGTGCGAGACATCACTGACGGTCACATCTTCGATGATGTGCAACACATCTCACCATATTACTTCCCTGAGTCTGGGCAGAAAGCAGAGACATTCATAGACATGAATCTAGCCTTGAAAACAGGTGGTTGTTCTTAGTTTCCCAGCCATTTAACTGCTGTAAAAGAAACCTGATAAGGAACTCAAAGATTTTGTTTCTGACTCTGAGTTTTTTAAGTCTTTCTGTAAAAATTCCTGACTTACTTTTCTTTGGGATGAGTCAACGATCACTTATACAGTGGTGTGTGCAGGGTTTGAACTCCTGCTCTGTTCAAGCTTCTGCTTTGTCTCTCAAGCTTCAGCCCGTCTCTCACAAACTGGAATTGGTCTGATATTTCTGGTCACTAAGGGGCTGAGCAGCATTGGATCCATATTCATGTGAGGGCTAAAATGCTAGAATATGCATTTTACTCCTAGTTTCTTTGCTCCCTTAGGCATTGTGACTACAGAGAGGTCATCATGTGTGAGACGTGCAGTATTTTCTTCTACAAACTTTGAGAACATCCTGACGTGGGAAACTGAAGCAGATATTCCCCCTGGCACTGTATTTGATGTCCAATATAAACAGTATGTGAAATTTGCTTCTTTTTTTTGAGTTCTGTTGTTATTAGGGTTACTGTTCTCAGACAAAGAAGGGCCAAGAAAGAAAAGCAGATTTTGCTGTTTCTGCTGCTTGTCTTACTGTTGCGGAAATGGTTCTGCTCAGACAACAACTCAATATAGGACAGGATTATTTAAACTGGTAGATGGTGCTCAGTTAAGCAAATACTTTTTACATCTTGAGTTGCCAGCTTTACTCCATTACTGAGCTCCTCTTTGCTTTCAGCAACTTCCTTCTCTCTATTCTGTAGTTTCCTCACCTGTAAATACAGGTAATAGCAATTGTCTTCTGTTGGGTCAGTGTCTAGAGCTCAGAGAATCAGACCAGTTTTATTACCTTCGGGGAAGTCTGCAAACTGCTGCAAACCTGCACGCACACACTCAGCGTCAGAGCTGTGCAAGGAGTCACAGACTCACAGGACACTCCTGTGCCTGCCTTGAAATAAGCTGCACTTCCTCATGGCAATACCCACTCAGGAGCCATCAACGGGAATGGATTAAGGGCTGTAGTCCAGGGAAAGTTTCCCTGCCCTGCCCTGGAATGGAATATTCCTTACCACTTGCTAATTACAATAATGAATTAAAAAAACTGCTAAGAGTTGGTCAAACAGCCTGTTTGGATCACTGCGGAGAAGGGTTGTAGTGCATCTGTTCTACCACACAGACTAAAAGCCTTTTTTTGTCCTAAGGTATGGAGAAAAATCCTGGCTTAACAAGCCTGAGTGCCAGAGCATCACACAACCTTTCTGCAATCTCAGTCGTGAAACAGAGAACTTCACAGAGCATTACTACGCCAGGGTGAGGGCCACCGGCCAGAACTACTGCTCCTCAGACTGGGTGCGCTCAGAAAGATTCGAACCCAAACAAGAGAGTACGTACCGCTGCTGAAATCTATTCTGTCCTGGATCCTAGGGATTCATTCCAAGTCTTGCTGGTGTTTAGGATGGCATTTCCTCTGATTTCAGTATCGCAAGACTCCGTGCATCATAGGAAGGGAGGGAAGGCCTGAAGAATGCTTATTATTATTGAGCAAGGAGGCAAATGAGCAAACGGGCAGGGCCTTCCCTGGGGTCAGATACAAAAGTGGGATTAGAGGAGAAAAGGAAAAGCCAGGTTTCCTTGAAGGAAGACCTGCTGTTAAGGCTGATGAGAGGCAGAAGGAAACGATAGGCAACCTGAGGACAGCCAGTAATACAGTCACCGGAGCTATGAAATGTGAACTCCTGAAAATCAGGAGCCAGACCAATGGATACTTAACGTTCCCAAGCCCTATGCAAGCTCGGCCACAGACATACATCATAGCCTTTAGGAGCCTCATGGGCTCTGTGACTAAAATTTTCCTACTGCATATTTTCCAAGAACAATTTCAGGTGGCGTTAGCAGACCATGGTTATGAAAAGCCTTCAGCTCTTTGCACAAAATAAGCTATGAAAGAGCCATAGTTTGGTTTGATCATGAAACTTTCACTTCTCATTGCAGCACAGGCATTAGCACGTGTGGTGAGGTTATCCTACCCCCCAGAGCCATTCTTTTCACTTTGATGTTTTCAAGCTACATACCCTTAGAGGAACAGTGAATGCTGCTTTTCAACACGCTGCTACAGATCGGGTTAAACCTCTGCTTAAATGTTGGGTGTAGCCTATGCCTTTCACTGAAGATAAGTGTAGGTACAGAAGGCGTGAAGTAAAAATCTAAAGCCAACATCTGGTGTAGGATGGGAATAGGAATTTAGGCAGCAGTTACCCGAGGGCCTGGTGGTGGGATTTCACACTCATCACACACGTGTGAAGGAGGATGTCCCTGTGCAGGACAGGGAAGTGACACAGAAGCAGTGACAACATGGGTATCGCAAGACTCCGTGCATCATAGGAAGGGAGGGAAGGCCTGAAGAATGCTTATTATTATTGAGCAAGGAGGCAAATGAGCAAACGGGCAGGGCCTTCCCTGGGGTCAGATACAAAAGTGGGATTAGAGGAGAAAAGGAAAAGCCAGGTTTCCTTGAAGGAAGACCTGCTGTTAAGGCTGATGAGAGGCAGAAGGAAACGATAGGCAACCTGAGGACAGCCAGTAATACAGTCACCGGAGCTATGAAATGTGAACTCCTGAAAATCAGGAGCCAGACCAATGGATACTTAATGTTCCCAAGCCCTATGTGAGCTCTGCCACAGACATACATCGTAGCCTTTAGGAGCCTCATGGGCTCTGTGACCAAAATTTTCCTACTGCATATTTGCCAAGAACGATTTCAGGTGGCATTAGCAGACCATGGTTATGAAAAGCTTTCAGCTCTTTGCACAAAATAAGCTTTGAAAGAGCCATAGTTTGGTTTGATCATGAAACATTCACTTCTCATTGCAGCACAGGCATTAGCACGTGTGGTGAGGTTATCCTACCCCCCAGAGCCTTTCTTTTCAGTTTGATGTTTTCAAGCTACATACCCTTAGAGGAACACTGAATGCTGCTTTTCAATACGCTGCTACAGATCGGGTTAAACCTCTGCTTAAATGTTGGGTGTAGCCTATGCCTTTCACTGAAGATAAGTGTAGGTACAGAAGGCGTGAAGTAAAAACCTAAAGCCAACATCTGGTGTAGGATGGGAATAGGAATTTAGGCAGCAGTTACCCGAGGGCCTGGTGGTGGGATTTCACACTCATTACACACATGTGAAGGAGGATGTCCCTGTGCACGACGACACAGGGAAGCGACATGGAAGCAGTGACAACATGATCCTGAGGAAAAACTGGAGGCGAGAATTTCTAAGGACAAACACCGGCGAAGGGTGGCAGTATCTCCAGTTGCCTGATTTTTCCTATTCTCAATGAAATACAGCTCAAATACCTGTACAGAAGGCGTGAAGTAAAAACCTAAAGCCAACATCTGGTGTAGGATGGGAATAGGAATTTAGGCAGCAGTTACCCGAGGGCCTGGTGGTGGGATTTCACACTCATTACACACATGTGAAGGAGGATGTCCCTGTGCACGACGACACAGGGAAGCGACATGGAAGCAGTGACAACATGATCCTGAGGAAAAACTGGAGGCGAGAATTTCTAAGGACAAACACCGGCGAAGGGTGGCAGTATCTCCAGTTGCCTGATTTTTCCTATTCTCAATGAAATACAGCTCAAATACCTGTATATAAACAGAAGTAATAATTAACAATGAGCCTGGGATGTGTATAAGATGTATGTAAGATGACCTGATAATGTATCAGCTTTAATCTTAACAGCTGCCTGTTCTATCTTTTCTAGCTGTTATTGGAGCACCGGAAGTGGAGTATATTCCTTACGCACGGTCTGTAAAGTTTCTTATCCGGTCCCCCTATACTCCACTGAGAGGTGAGGATGGCCAACAGCTAACTGTAGAGGACATTTCTAGCAAATTTGGTGCTGTGGATTATCACTTAACAATATTCAACCAAAGGACACAGCAAAAGGTAAAGAACAACCTCAGACCACCAGCCCACCGACCTTTGTAAATCACATTTTGCGTTAAGACAGGAAAGGACCTTAGAGTTTATACATAATGGATGAGATTTTTGATGTACAAGGGAAAGTCTCAGAGTCTTTGACTCTCAGTAGACAAGAGGAACTTTAAGCATTCCTCTAGAATTCTGGAAACGAAACTGGATTTTCCCAAGGTACTGTATAAGTAGCAAAAAGTAAAACCACTGGTGACTAAAAAAGAGAACAACTAAATTAGTTCAAGTCTTAAGGAACTGAAATGCAAAAATTAAATACAGTAACAGTAGAAAGCAAATTATATAATTCGATATATACGGAATTGCTATAGTCCTGTAACACCTCATTAGTAAATTAAATGTTATACTGAATTTTGCAATCTGATTTGAGAAAAATGTATGCATTTAATCTTTCTAAAATATAGAATTTACCTTTATTTTAAATAGTGGACAAAGAATGAGCACAGCAAAGAATTTGAAGTTTCCGACTTGGACCCTGACACTGAATATAATGGAACAGTATATATGTGCCTCTTCCAGAGAAGCAGCAAAGTTCAAGTATTTTGGGTTAAAACACTAGCAGGTGAGGTTGTTAACTCTGCTAATTTAAAAATCCAACTGGGATATTTGATACACAAAAGAGTATGATTATCAGCTGGTATGAAATAACGTCTTGGTAAAGATCTTGAAGTAACACTGACTTTCCTCACTTAAAAATCTAGTCCTATGAGACTAGACTTATAACATCATTTAGGTAATCTCCTGCTGTTTTTCTAATCCAACTCTCTGAAGCTACATTTTCCACTTGTTTTCTTCCCCACTAACCAGACAACACGTGGCTTCTCTACTGCTTCGTGGCACTCGGATTCTGTGCTGGACTGGTGTTTGCTACAATTAGCTACGTCATCTATAAATACATCAAGCAACACAGTGCACAGCCTATGTCTTTGGTAAGTGTTCTTAAGTGATCGTGGCAAATCTTTAAAATGCTCAGGACTATGTGTATGCAAAAGAGAGACAGTTTGTCATCAGTTACTGGCTTTTACTGATATTTCTCCGAAGAAATGTTAAAGAATCTAAAGCAAACCTTCAAAGCCACAGCTTTTGTTAATTACTCATGTTTGTGTGTCTACTTCAACAGGACTTCAGAGGAATTTCATCATTCCAGCCTCTTACACTGACAGTGGAACATATAATAAAGCCCATTAATTTTTCCAAACCTTCACTTCTCATCCCTGAAGTGCAGTTACCACAGATCACCCAACATTTGGACAGAGCACTGGAGCCGCCGTGGTCTTTCCCTCCACCAGAAACTGCCTATCAGCAACAGAGGGATGTACCCACCTTCCAGCTGCCCGCTGAGCCCCACTGCCTGCCAAGCCCAGCTCCTGCTGGTTACGCTCCTCAAACAGCCAAGGAAAGCCTTCCCAAGGGCAGTCCCACCAAAATTCTGCCCCTAACCTATGGGGTGTGCGTCGAAGGCACAGACTACGTCGACAAGAAGAGTTCGCAGCCAAACGAAAAGCTAAAGGAAGTTTCTCCAGATAGTTCTGTTGGTGGAAAGCTCATAACCCAGATGCTGGACAAGAGCTGCAGCCACTGGAATTACAAAGAACAGAGGCCAAACTTGGCGTTGTGGAACAGCAGTGACAAAAGGGAAACAGTTCTCTTACCAGGGAGTCCCGGGCAAACACAGCAACTGCTGGTGCGGACTGACGGGATAGAAAGTAAAGTGTATGTGTCCCAGCTGTCACTGTCTCTGCTGGAACAAGAAGGATGCTATAGACAACAGACAGCAGAACTGCCACTGTTGTTGTCTTCAGTGAAAGTTGACACAGACTATGCTCCAGAGGATGAATCACTGTCACCTCTGTCAGCAACCCTCCTCTTCTCAGGCGGTACCAGTAACAGCTTCCCTGGAGAGAACACAGAGCGGTGGATGTCGCCAGGTTCATTCTCACATCCTGCAAATAAACTGCAGTTCCCAGAGACTCACGAAACAGAAACGTTAGCAGCAACAAAGGAGCTAAGCTGCACAAAACTGAATAACGTTGTGTTCCAAGACACTATCTCAGACCAGGGAAATGGCACTGCTCTCACAATGCTCTTCAAAGACTTGGACTTACAAGTGCTGTGGGATCAGGATTAAAACACAGAATTCTATTAGGATGACAATGATATTAAAATCCAGATTACGTTTGCTTGCATGAAGTAGTAGCTTATCCTGCAAACAGTGCAAATAAACATACCTAATCGTGGATATATTAACATGGCCCAGACTTGTCTGACTCTTTCCACTATTGTCTGTCCTTGGGATAGGTACCTTTACTCATATAATTACTTAATGGTACGCTGCAATACTGTAAATAATAGGCCTTTATTTCTTGCACATTCTTCAATTTTTTTTATGAAATAGACTACATTAAAAGCTGAGTTAAGACTCAAGTTCAAATTCCAGATTACTGAAAATTTAGCAAAATTCACAACAGAAACTGTGTTTGCTCTTTATAAACAAGATAGGTCCAAGATACAGCCACCCCTTGAAGAAATTCAAGTGCAGATGTATGGAAAGATAAAAGGATTAAATATATTATGGCACAGTAAAATAATTAAATATATATTGGTGTTCTACCCTTGGATATATGATTTGTGCAAAACAATAGGCTGCTTCCATGAAATGGACTTTGCCTTTAAAGTAGTCATTGAAACTGCTGTAATAGCTCCTGATGCAGCAATTTTGAGAAATTACCTGTCCCCTGTCCTGCTGTGCTCTTTAATGCCTGTAGAAAGATAAAGCCTTTTTCATTTCTGCAACAGATTAATGCAGTCTTCACCCAGTTCTGACAGATTTCTCAGCTGCTGCTCATTTCTTTCTCTGAAATAGTCACACATTCTCTTCTTTTGAAATGCCCAGGGAGGAAGCAGCCAGGAGGCAGGAATGTGAGGATTTACACTCATCTTGGTTCTGTCCTCAATCTCAATTTACACTGATCTCAATTCACGCACTCAATAATCTACTAAGGAGACAAGGGAGCTCTTGAGGTGCCTCCTCTCGCCCTTCACTGACACTGTGGGTGAGGACCATGTTCCATTTATGTGGTAGAGAGAAGTCTACAACTGCAGAGCCCTCCCTCCCCTGCTCCTGTTACCAGCACGTCCACCTCCAGGCTGGAATGAACCAAACCCAATGTGAACCAAGAGCCAAATTCCTTTAGCGCTGCACCTTTACAAAAAGCAAGTTAAATGGTATTTATTCAGGGGACAAGAGGAAAGAATTTTTCGTTAAGAGGAAATCATAGTTCAGCCTGTTTGTTTCCACTGGTGCGGTGAAAAAGTGTGAGTGTCTAATGACATCTATGTTTAGAGAAATGAAACCATTTATAGGAATAAGCAAGGCTTGGAATGGTATGGGGAAGTTCTCACTTGAGCACTGCCAGAGAAAGGCCGACCAGAAGCAAAACTCAGCTGTTCTCACCATGAGCACACTTAGATGTTTTCTCTATCCAACGAAGCTGATTGAGGCTAAACTCCGCTTGCTTTGGTGTGATTTTGCAAACAAACCATAGCCTTATGGAAGTAAAGGGGTTTGATGTTTCAACCCACGATTAAAGGGATAATCTTAGAAACTTTACAGGCAAAGGTTCAGCTCTTAGCTCCAGCATCAGTAAGGAACGAAGCACTATGGCCCTGTCACATGGGGCCAAAAGGTCAAGAAGCCAGACGCAGTGAGGAGGTGTCACGGTGAGGAGGTGTCACGGCACAGGGTATGACAGGTATGAATGTGTGCAAGGTCCGGGCAGCAGCCTGGAAGGACATTTCCATTGTGTGAGCTTCACCTCATACCACTCAGTATCAACAGTTTCGTGGAATGTCGTTTGAGCTGTTTCACGTACTCTGTGTCCAAACTACAACATCAAACCCAGCACACACAGAGGCACTGCAGTTACAGGAGTTGCAGCAGCCCAGCTCTGGGGTTTCCAAGGAGCTCAAGACCCCAGGAGTAACATTCTGCCCCACTGACCCCCCCCAGAGAGGCTGCATTTCAAGCCAGTGATGCCAATTACCTTATTCAGAGTTGCCTGTGGGCTGCATATCTTGTGTCAACAACATTCCCAGTGATGCTACTCAGGGAATGATCAAATGCCACATTTTGGCTCATGTTGTGAAATACAACCCTCAGCAGAGGGTGAGTATGGGCACCATAGCGCGGAAGGGAAGGGGGCCTTAGGAGAGCTTTAGATGCTGCTAAAAGATACAACATTCCCTATTTAAAAGCCTTTATCAAATCCCTCAGCAGACCCACTGCCACAGGGTCTGATCATGTCCTGCCCTTAATAAAGGTATCATCTTGGTGCCCCAGGAGGAGAGATGGGAACTGAGGCACAGAAAGCCTCAGGACCAGATATTTAGAAAATATGTAGGTACCTAAAGATGCAAAGCTTCCCCTAGCTGGGATGTCAATCTCTTCTTCAGGCACATTAAAGCTATGTTGCTTCTGACTGTGCTGAAAGGCTGCATTGGCAGGAATGATCTCAAAGGCTTACAGCCCAGCTACTGCCCCATCCTGTCCTCATCCGTTCTACCCTGAACAGCAGCAACTGCAATGAAGAGGGAACACAGTCAAGAGAGAGACTCTGTACGCTGTGTCTCAAGGAGGTGACTGGCAGCAATGTTCTCAGCTTCCTGCTCTCATCATGGCTAAGTCAATATTTATCTTTTTAGCCTCGATATACTAAGCAGGAGGAGATCAATTCCTGTCTCATGAGTCACCTCTTAAATTTAACAGGAAGGTTATCCCTTCTAAAACTCTTTCTCTTGGGAAAAGCTTGGAAACAGATGTTGATGGTACCCAGCTTTATTGTAGCTGTGCAAGGAACGTGCTCGTCCATCTCCCATCAACATGTGCTGACTTTATTGCTTTCTGCTTCACTGCTTTCCCTAATCAAATTGATAGGTTTGTTTGTTTCAAAATGCATTACAGCAAACAGCTACAGTGGGAGCTAATTATCTCATTCTGCGTAAGGACATTTTCAGATAAACAGCAGGATTTCAACACTGTTTCAAAGGTCTTCCCATGCAAACCATCTGTACCAACCAACAAACCGTTCCTCATTTATCTTGACTTTCCCAGGTAACAGTTTTGATAGCTCTAGATAATAAAAAATAGAAGCTTTGCCACAAAGACCGTGCTTATTCCCAAGCAGATGTCACGCCGATGACAGGTGAGCATTGCAGTTCCAGTTGTCACAGGGATATCAGGGTAGCAGGTGGCAGCTGTAACCCTAGAGCCAAGTATTACTCTTTGTCTTCTCGGCTAAATCGGGGAGCTGTCACTTGGCCGCTCCCCGTGCCAGCAGCCCCACTCCCAGCTCACCAGGGGTCCCTGCACTGGGAGGGACACATCGCTGCAGACCGAGCCTCACGTTCTCCCTCGTTATCTGTTTTGGCATTGGAAAGTGCCCTGTTTGAAGACTATACAAAATCATCGCTTTTTTAACAAGTCCTTTGAGGAAAATCTTACTCAAGGAATGAATTAAAAGGTCCACGTTCTGGAGACAGAATGAAGCAGAGCTGAGAGGCAGCTCGGAAAGTATTAGGGACCTTGATAAAATAGACTTTATATCTTTGCTCTGGCATCACACTGGCCGAACGGGATGGCTGTCAGTGATGGGGAGGGTTGATGCTGCAGATCCAGCAGCTGGACCACAGCGCTAAGCAGTGGCCTTACACCTGCTGCTTCCGAGGATTTAAAATGTCAAGGGACATCTTCTTTCTTCTCAGACTGAGATAATGAGAGCTGGGAGACACAATGATAGGATAACCAGACAGTTGACGTGACAAAGATGAATGAAATTATTTATATTAAACAGAATAGACAATAATTACTCATTACTTCTCGTAATACAAAATTCAGGAAAGCACTCAAATGGTTATGCAATTATTCAAAACCAATGAAATAAAAGTGTTGCTCAGCTTATACTGAAATATATTCAGCCATGCCTGCCCAGTAGTACCCGTTTATTCCTTTCTCAGGAACGTGTGAAACACAGAAGTCCTTGCAGTTCTAGTGCTGATCCCGCTGGGTTTCGGCTTTGTTTTATTTGGATGGTGAAGCAAACAAAGGTTCCTAGAAATGGAGCCTACTGATATCGGCAGGTTGACTCAAACTGTGCCAAATTTAATGCTGGAATTCATTTCCACAAAGCCTTGTGAAAGCCAGAATCAGAAAGTGTTCAAAAAGGAATTAGGGATAGGACTATTAGAGACAATAAAGCAGAGTCCAGCTCAGGAAAAGCTACGAGCCACGCTCAGAGGCGGTACTGGGCTGAACGGACCTTCAGCTTCATCCACTATTGCAATTTTATGGCCTCTTTACAGACTTGCAGCAGCTCTGAGAAGCCCACAACTGACGCACTGACTCCTCAACCAATGAAATGTAGCTGGCAAACATCTGGCTCACAAACTGGTCTTGCAGCCTCAGTGTTTCACTACCTCAAAACCTTCATTTCTCCTTCTGACACCACAAAAAATATCACCTGCTTCTCACATTGCTGGGGAAGGTTTATCTTGAATGCTGAAACTGCAAATCTATCTCAAATAAATGGAAAAACGGTAGTCTCTGTTCTTTTACCCTACCCCAGACTCTCAGACACCACCAGGTGTCTGGATATATAAGTTCCCCTGCCCTTGTGGCAGCAAGCCTTCATTTGTCTGTAATAAAGAAAGTGCAATCATCGCAGCCAACCAAAACATAAGAGCTGCTGTTAGCTCCTGGTCTAATTATACACTGACATAATTTGGCTGGAGTTGGCATTCACTAAAGAGATGTCAAAGTAAATGATTTCACTCTATTATGCAGCAATTTAGTAAATGATTTCACTCTATTATGCAGCAATGGCAATGTTAACCCAAGGGAAATTCCTGGAGGAGATTAAAATATTCATAATTCATTTTAGATGCCTTGTGAGCTTCTATTTGAAATGAGCAGAGAATAACCCAACACTCCGAAGCCTGAATTTTGGAGGCACCTGTCTTTCCTTATATCATTTGGCAAAGGCAATGATTTGCCCGATCTGAAAAAGAGTTTGTGATTAGTTGCCATCGCAGTAAACAGCTCCGACTGCGTAACCCCTGCATGGGTCTCCCCATTGTCACCGCGATGGCATGGTAGGATGCTATATTTAAGACTCCAGGATGGGCACTCAAACATGGGGAACATTCTTTTGGGGAGAGTCATTCTTAGTGTCATCAAGAGGGAGAAGGAAACGCTCC